TAGACTGAGCATTACACATTTTGAATTACATGTGCCGTACTTGACAAATTACGTTAATATCTAAATTTTCATACCACCTTTTTATTTATACTTATAAATATTTGCTCGTGGGAAATAAATGAGACTTACATAGAGATTTTTTGATCTACTGCAGCTGATTAGAGAGTGTAAAGAAGTTATAACGGGTTCTATTGTGATGAAGCAATACTACCAAAGAATGGTTACTTGTGTACTCTGGGATAATAAAGACTTAAAAGAGAAACTTGATAATGATATGGATGAGTACGAGAAAGATCTTAAAGAAATGTTACAGGTATCAATATGTAATCTTATGCATATGTGATTATTATTATTATATGATGGTCAGAAGACAGTTACAATTAGTAAAATTGACACAACTTTATCACATCTTGTATCTAGATGTGATAAATGTGATTCATTGTCATGTGCTGTGTTGTTAGCCTTACCAAAATAGGACTAGTGTCATTCATGTTATAAACAAGTCTGAAACATATGTGGTTACTGTGCCTGAGACATTCTTTAGATGTGACCCAAACATGTTTTAAACAAGTCTGAAACATATGTGGTTACTGTGCCTGAGACATTCTTTAGATGTGACCCAAACATGTTTTAAACAAGTCTGAAACATATGTGGTTACTGTGCCTGAGACATTCTTTAGATGTGACCCAAACATGTTTTAAACAAGTCTGAAACATATCTGGTTACTGTGCCTGAGACATTCTTTAGATGTGACCCAAACATGTTTTAAACAAGTCTGAAACATATGTGGTTACTGTGCCTGAGACATTCTTTAGATGTGACCCAAACATGTTTTAAACAAGTCTGAAACATATGTGGTTACTGTGCCTGAGACATTCTTTAGATGTGACCCAAACATGTTTTAAACAAGTCTGAAACATATCTGGTTACTGTGCCTGAGACATTCTTTTGATGTGACCCAAACATGTTTTAAACAAGTCTGAAACATATGTAGTTACTGTGCCTGAGACATTCTTTAGATGTGACCCAAACATGTTTTAAACAAGTCTGAAACATATGTGGTTACTGTGCCTGAGACATTCTTTAGATGTGACCCAAACATGTTTTAAACAAGTCTGAAACATATGTGGTTACTGTGCCTGAGACATTCTTTAGATGTGACCCAAACATGTTTTAAACAAGTCTGAAACATATGTGGTTACTGTGCCTGAGACATTCTTTAGATGTGACCCAAACATGTTTTAAACAAGTCTGAAACATATCTGGTTACTGTGCCTGAGACATTGTTTAGATGTGACCCAAACATGTTTCAGACACTAGTTTAGCTTGAAACTACTATAACAACTTATGCATTGTATGAAACACACAGTTAATGCATGTTTGGGACATATTTGGAGTTTGATTGAAACTTATATCAACATATCTGAAACATGTTTTAAACATCAGAAATATAAACATGTTTCAGACTCATATCAAACATGAATACAATTATGAGTATCATTCAGCATTTATTCCAAACAAGTCATGTGACAACAACCAATAAAATAAATTCATTAAAATTAAAAAAAAATTGCTTGATTTAAACTGTCAAATAAATAGCTGTAGCTTCTTAAATCAAGTTCCAGATTACTTCAGGCATTGGTTGCTGACAATTTGGTATCACGAATGGTAGAACTGCACTGTGCCAATGCTACCACATTATATTTACCTAAATATCCAACTCAAGTTCCCATGAGATATATTGTTATGCCTCAAAGTACACAAACATTCTTTGTAACATGTTTGAGACTAGTCTAAGAGATGTTCATATCCAATTTTGTATTTTAAATTCAATTTCATGAACAGCAACGTTTGAAAATCTTCAGAGGATATATGGGACAAGCATGTGTCCACACCTGTATCTTAGACATGCCTGGACTAATTAATATTATACATATGCACATTAATTTGTTTTATAATCTGATTCAAAATGGCTGAATTGTGGCCTTTTTTGTCCTGAAAAATCATTGAAATCAAGCATTTCCGGAACTGGATCTTGGATGTTTGCAGATGGATTTTGTTGAACCTTGGTATTGTTTCAATGAATGTGGTTCTTGAGCCATATCTCTGACATACTTTGACTGACTATTTTTCAAAGTTTATATATTCATTAGACATCATGTCGTAGACATACAGATGTATTGGTTTGACGATTTGATTGAAAATTGTTGAATGGTGGCCATTTCTGTGTTAAAAATCATAAAAAAATCAAGCTTTTGTTGTATTCCAGAACCAGATCTTGGTCTTTTATGGATGGATTTTGTTCAAACTTATAACAATATGGAGAAGTACTTGTTTGACGATCAGATACAAGATGACTGAATGTCATTTCAATGTTAAAAAATCATCATAGTCAAGTATCAGCTTCTAGATCCCTATGTTTCTGTTCCAACTATATTACTATAAACAAAACTATAAATCTTAAATTGATAACTAACAGGGAACTGTGTCATGCATGGCTTGTTTTAAATGCATTATATGTAATTTTTTGAATTGAAGTAGCTCTTTTCATGTTTGGTGTTTTCTTCAGAGAAGGATTTCAATGACTACTACCCCAACCCCCCCTACCAAATCATCATTAAATTAATTCATTGCGTTGTAAGATTTGTTTATAATTTGTTTTAGGTATATTTTGAATATTTACATAGCTGGATACAAATGCTACAACGAATGCCACAAGCTTCTTTAAGTCTTAAAGATGTCATACAAGAAGAATGGAACTTCGCTAAAGAAGTATGTCAGCACATAACTGGTGGAGAAGCACAGGCAGGACAAAGATTCTGGTAAATCAGTCCAGCTCCCTATCACTGTACTGTTATACACAATCTATCAGAAAGAAATAAGGCTATTGCAACATACAGAAAATTAAAAAAGCTTTTTGTATTACATAATAGTTGATTTTTATTTCAAACCTAAATCAAGATTCAACATTTTCATATTTGTAACTAAATTAATTCCATGCATAAATGGGCATGCAAAAAGCATAAATGAAACTGTGATGATCAACTTTTAATTTAATTTTAAAAGTTTTTGAGTTTTCTGTCATAAATTTATTTTCATCGTAAGTGATGTAAATGTTGCCGAATTGTAATGCCAGAAGACCATTATATTAGCTCTACTGTCATTGAAATATGATGGAGTAGAGCTATTAATTAATATCTGCCATTTGTCAACAATTTTATGATCACCTGCCAAACTGTTTTCAAATTGATACCTAGTATGTAGGTCAGGTTTTTCCAATTCCCGATCCCGAATTACCCTCAGACACGATGTAATTCTATTTGCGCATGCATAACCAACCTAGCAACAGGCAAGGGTAGGACAAAAAGAAACTGGTGGACATGCAACCCGGAAGAAGTCACAGGCATATTTGGAACATTTTTTTTTAAAATAGCAGAGTCAGTGCGGGTGGGTGGGTACAAACAAGGGCAGCGAGAAGAAATATTTAAGACAGCTGATAAACATGTATTTCCAGTTAAAAAAAGTGATTTTCAGAGAAAATGAGCTGGAATAAAGATGGTACTAGTACGTTTGTGTTTCACAGATTAAATAAGACTGTGCCATAGTTTTTCATGTCCCAAAAAAATATTACGCTATAGTCAAAGATAATTTGCATGCTTGTTATTCTTGCAAATTTTCAGAGGCTGGTATGAGTTAGTATAAAGTTGATGGCAGATTTATTTCAGGTGAATTTTTATGTTGCGAGTTGGAAACATTTTTAGTCCCCGTTCGGACACAGTCCGAAAACGGGGACTTATGTTTTGACCTCCGTGCGTCCGTGCGTACGTGTGTGTGTGCGTGCGTGCGTCTGTGCGTGCGTCCGGACCTGTATCTTAGAAATGTCTGGACCAATCGCAATCAAACTTCACACATACATCATACATGATATCATACATATGCACGTCAATTTGTTTCATGATCTGATTCAAGATGGCCGGATGGCGGCCATTTTTGTGCTAAAAATCATCAAAATCGAGCATTTCCCGGTTGTTTACAGATGGATTTTGTTCAAACCTTGTATATACGTTGGACAGTATAGGACCTTGATGCACATCATTTTGTTTTACGATCTGATTCAAGATGGCCGAATGGCGGCCATTTTTGTGCTAAAAAATCATAAAAAGCAACCATTTCTCGGCTGTTTACGGTTGGATTTTGCTCAAACTTGGTACTGTATATACATTAGACATTATGGGACCTTGATGCAAATAATTTTGTTTTTCAGATAACATTCAAAATGGCCGACTGGCGGCCATTTTGTATTAATCAATGTGGTTCTCGTGCCATATCTCCAATATATTGTTTTGACTGATTATGTTCAAATTTTAAATATTCATTATATATCATGTCATAGATATATTAGTTTGACGATCCTATTCAAAATGGCCGAATGGTTGTCATTTTTGTACTAAAAATCATCAAATATCAAGCATTTCTGGCATTTATGGATGGATTTCGTTCAAACTTGGTACATACATTAGACATACATTAGAAATTACGGATGTACGTCATTTTATTTTATTTTTTTTTAGCCGAGCTAAGCGCTCATGCATGTTTTGTTTTGCCTGTGCTAAGGCTCTGGACTGACCAGATTTACTCTGTACTTAGTATTTCTTAGCCTGTGTTCATGCAATTTTTTTCTAGCACAGGCTAAGGTATTGGACCTCTTAGCCTTTGCTGAAGAGCTCTGCGTGAATACTACTAATAAGTGTCTTCTGTTTATTCCTTCCTTAGGCGCATACTTCACTTCACTTCCCTTTTATATTGATCTCTACAACTCATTCAAATCAAATTAGGCTCAAAGATGGGCAAAATATATTAGATTTAATTGAAATTTAGTTTAAATCCACGCTAAATTAAAAGTTATTTTGAGTATG